TACAGGTATGACCTTCGCTGTTTTCCATGCGGAAGGGAATATGCCCGTGGAAAATGACATGTTGAAAATATCGCACAAAGGGAATGCTATGGATGGTACCAGGGCCTTGAGGACCTGGTTGGGGATGCCGTCGGGACCAGATGCCTTGCACGTCGGAAGCTTCTTCAGATGACGCCGGACAGTGGCAGTTGTGGTGATGACGGACGTGAAACAAGCTGAGGGCTCCGAGGGGGTGAGAATAGGGGGAATAGAGAGCAACGGGTCGTCTGGCCGAGTCACAGAAGCAAACTGGGCGTTTAATGCGGTAGCTTTGGCCAAAGGGTCAGCCGCCCGCTGAGTCCCTGTGGTGAGTGACGGAATTTCTCGTGATACGTTTCGAATTCTTGCTTGTCTCACAAACTTGTGAAGCGATGGACGGTGTATACCCTGCAAAGTAGTTTGCACTGAGCGGAAATAAGCTCTGTACTTTGTCCGCGTCAGGGTTTTCACTATATTTCGCTGCTATTGGTATGCTTGTTTGTTATGTTGTGTTGGGCACTTCTTAAAAATCCTATAGAGATCATATTCCCACTTGATTGCTGTGCGGAGATGGGCATCAACCCAGGGTGGCTGACTGGGCCGTGGGCAGCAGTGAGAATACGGCTGCTTTCCGAACGGCCAGAGGTGCTTCTCAAGGGCACTGTTGAGAATGGAAGAAAAGTGCGAAAGCGCATCATTGACGTTGCTGGCACGCAGATGCCATCTCCAGTCAATGTCAGCGAGCTCTGCATTCACACTATCCCAGACGGAAGATGGCACGGATTTAAAGTCATATTCCGGCTTTCCAGGAACATTCCTGAAGTGGTATTGGGGTGCAGCAGCCGGATGTCCGTTTGCAGCAGGTTCCTCATGATAAACAGCATCAGTAGGCAGTAGGAAGTGACTGAGGATCTGTGCGTGGTCAGATGCACGAAGAGGAGTAAGAGATGTAACAGAGAGTAGTAGGTGAGGATGATTTCTTTTGTTGGTGATACACATATGCAACGCGTATAATTCTCATACCCTTGTTTTGTGCACACCTTTATGAGAAGTATCGCACTTTGATATTTTAGTGCTGTCACTGTACCTCGCTACTCTAACTTGATTCCTATATTATTTCCTTTGTTCTTATTTTGTTCTTTAGTACAACGGTGATTCCTGAAGAGTGTTGGACGAAAACATGTTCGAATCATCTTTTTTCCTTCGCATTTTCTCCTTACCTTTTAGATCGTTTTTTAGATCGCACCGTCTCCAGAACTTAATATTGCTTAATAAAGTAGTCCAAATATCACTTAAGCTCGTCCTCCTTATTGCAATATTAAAAATTGTTGTCTCCACGTCGAATATGAAAAGGAGACTGTTTTAATTTTTCACCGAAAGTTCACGAGACGATAACAACCCATTCGTTTTTTACGCTCCTGCTTGTAGCAGTTTAGCACTCTTGTGTGGGGTAGTGCCTTTGCTGTTTGTGTTCCTGACTTGTCAGTTTGAGCACTCTGACAAGTTACATTCCGGCTTGGTTTAAATCTGGCTTGGAAACTATTTTGTTCATATTTACCAGGTTCGGGCTCATTTCCTCTGTGCTGCACTGATGAGTCCACAAAGGACGAAACAGTTCTGTCCGCAGATTGAGTAACACTCCATTCATAAAGCCTTTTTATCAATTTTGTTCGAAAGTAAGATATCACGAGGTCAGGGAGGGTTCCTCTCCAGAGAGTAACACTTTCAAACTTCATCTTCGCGTAATTAATCACCACACATCTATCCAAGAACGGAATTCCTCGCTATGGTTTGGTGAACGTGAACCAAGAGCGCAGTGCGAATAGGTTACGAATTTCAATTTATTTTCAAATGGCAGAGGTCGTTGCAACTTCTGAGTTATCTTCACCTTGCCGTTTAAGTAGAAGTAGTAGTAGTACTTTACTTGGGTATACCCAAAAGGCCTATGGCCTTCTTACAGGGTGCCCAAGGAGATATTGTGAGCAGCTAGCGCGAAAAGCAGGCAAGGTACGCTGGGATCGTATGATCGCTGGTAGTGCACCAAGAGCGGTCAGCACCAAGAAATGAGAGACTGTAGAGGCCTGGCCGGTACATGAATAGGGGGAGAAAGAGACTACGGAATGTTTGGCCTCTGGTCTGGGAGGTAGTGTGGGTAGCATCATTTCGGGTCGTGAAGATTTGTGAGGTAAGGGGACTGACAAGGGACCTGATGCACCGAAAAGTAAAAATGAACAGCTTCAAATGTCGGTAAGAATCAAACCTGACTAATGTATGGTGTAACCTTCACATCCGCACACGTTACACGCAGTTATCTGTGGTTGCTTGAGTAATGCAAGCGGGACTCTAGTAAAGGCCCTGCAGTGAGAGTCGTCACAGACTGGAAAAAAATCACATCCATGTCGAGCTAAGCAGAAGTGTTTGCGATTCACCACGATCGAGCCGCGTGAAATGGACATCATCTTTCACGCCCGGAAATCGCTCCTATTCCACGATGGCCGCCCTTGGATGAAGGACAAGGGCGACATGTTTGACGTAACAATGGGAAGTTACGATGGTGCCGAGACGTGCTAACTTGTCGGCGCCTTTCCTCTCAACCAGCTCTCAAGCCTCGTCGATCGATCCGCTGTCGGCCTCTACAGAGACGATGGACTGGCCGCCCTCAAGGACACCACCCCACAGGCTGCAGACCGCCTCAGAAAAAAGCTGACGGAAACCTTCGAGCGCTTCGACCTAAAAATTACCATCGAAGCGAACTTGAAGGTGGTGGATTTCCTGGATATCACCATGAACCTGGACACCGGGAAATTTCAACCCTTCCGAAAGCCAAATGACAACCCGCTCTACGTCAGCAAGCAGTCCAACCACCCGCCTGGGATCACCAACAACATCCCTGCTGCTGTCAACAAGCGCCTTTCCGCTATATCGAGCGACGCGGAGGCATTCAACCATGCAGCCCCCGTGTACCAGACCGCATTAAAGGCCAGTGGATACACCGAAGTGATGAGCTTTCAGCCCGAGGCACATGAGCACAGGGGCAGGAAGAACCGCAGCCGGAAGGTCATATGGTTCAACCCTCCGTACTCCAATAACGTTAGCACAAACGTCGCTGGTAGGTTCCTGAGCCTTGTCTCCAGGCACTTCCAGAAAACATCCAAGCTCGGGAAGATTTTCAACCGTAACACTCTGAAAGTGAGCTACAGTTGCATGCCCAACATGGGAGCGGTCATCAGCAGCCACAACAAGAGCAACCTGCGAGAGCCAGAGCAAACCAAGGAATGCAACTGTAGAATCAAGGAATCCTGCCCGCTGCGCGGAGAGTGCCAGACGAAGGAGATTGTGTATGAGGCCACTGCAGAATCTACCAGCAAGATTTACATCGGCCTATCAGAGAAACCTCTCAAAGCCCGTCACGCCAACCACCTGACCTCCATGCGTCATGAAAAATACAAAAACAGCACTGAGCTCGCAAAACACGTATGGGAGCTGAAGAGCGAGGGAGAACCGTTGACCATTACATGGAAGGTGCGGGAGAAGAGCCAATCATACAGATGTGAGTCAAAAAATGCAATCTTTGTACCGCGGAAAAATTCCACATCCTGACTACACCCAAGAAGCTCCTACTCAACAAGCGGTGTGAGATGGTCTCGAAATGCAGGCATGAGAATAAGTTCCGCCTTGCAAATTTCACACCTATCAAATGAACTGACCAAGTACTGTAATCCACTTTGCCTGAGCACCCATTATTATTATTAATAACACAATCCCTTGACCTGATGTTGGCGATGCAACTCTGCTCACGCCTGCCCGTCACCAAACGACTCCCTACTTGTAGCGATCTCACTGGCCCATTGCCCGCCACCCTCCTGGCACCTCCACACATCTGCTGTACACTGACTTCCCATCGCCTCTTTCCGGGCTTTCATGCTCACACCTGCCTGTTGCCCGCCACCCTCCTGGCACTTCCACTGTCGCGCCTTGGCCCGCGCCAGCTTTCTCCCCATACCTCACACCAGATTTAGCGCTAAATTTGTTTATGCTTGTGGCCCTATGTGTTTATAAGTATACTGTTGGGTAGACCCGAGTATCAGTTGTCTGATGATTGCCTAGCGGCATGAAACTCAGAGTTACAACCAACCTGAACGTCCTCCGCTGAGTCTGCTATGTACTAAGCTTTGTCTCTGACATTGAGCACTCTCTGCAGCTCGGGGATCAACGGATTTGTATTTGTAATTGTATGTTTTCATGCCTATACGTTTCATTCAGTATTTTAACGGTCCTTTGAAAGGAAAAGAAAGGACATCACGGCAGTGTCTAGGAAGAGTAGATAACGTAGAAGAAAAGTGAAAATTAAAATATTATTATTAATTTTAACGGTCTCCCTCTGCAGTAGAGGTGTAAGGGGATTGAAATAATTCGGAATACTTGGCCCGTGCTGCTTTTTGGTTTTGTTGATGTCGTTTCTTTTCCTTTCAAGGTATCCTGATCCTGGCGTACTTTGTGTGTGCAGACGCCAACAACATCAAGCTAGCCTGAGTAACACGGCCCCACCACCACTTCCCACATTTAGTAGGGAGCATAGTGGACGTAAGGCAGGCATAGTGGGATGGTCTAAGACCATGATTGAGAAACAGAGGGTACCAGGTTCAAGTCCTGCTTGGAAGCGGAAGGAATTTTTCCAGCCGTGCTGCGACCCACAGTTAATTGGGAACTCGTGGCCTGGCACGAGGGTAACATGGATGCAGCTAATGGGATTTCGGTCTTTGACCACTTGGTGGTGGGTCTGATCTACTCACCTCCCACCGTTTAGGCGCTGCATCTGCGCCTTTGATCCTAGAGGGTGGTGGCGTTCCCACGGCGGATGCGGAAAACTCGGCTTCCAGCCGAGTCTCACGCGAACCGTGAAATTTATTTTTTTATAGTGGACGTAACTCTGCTAACTTAGAAACATTGTTGAGTCACACTTACGTTACAGCGCCACTTACCTTAAACTGAAGCACCATAGTGCTCGTCTCTACTGGTTGCAACACTGTTGAAAACCAGCACTGGGAAATGTTCTCAATTACAATGGTGAATAATAAAATTCAAATCCGGCCAACAAAACCCTATCGGAGACAACAGAAGGATAGGAACCATCGAGTTACCTTGAATCAATCACCATTCACCAAACAAAACATCCAAAATGTTTCCACATACCAGCTGTTGGTGTATATTCCAGGATCAATTGGATGTAGCACACGGATCACGATAAGGTTCGTTTGCCTTGCGAAAATGAGCGCTGCATTCGGGAGCAAAGCCCTCAATGAAACAAATTATTTTACTATTTGCTCGCTTTCTGCCTAGACTCTCTGCAAGCATATGCAAAACACACGCACGAGGAGTGCCGTGATATCTGTCTATGGTACTCCGTAGCAGCTCGGTTGGCTGCTGCACGTAGATATCCTTTGCTGACTTACTAACGCAAGCCTAAGAAATGAGCTACACGTACATGTACATGTACATGCAACCGTAACTAGATGGCTAATGTATACCAGGGCTATGAGTGTCACGCAGTGGTCACATGCCAGTGCTACTGTGCATGTATGTTGGACATGTCATGAGCTCAAACACACAAGCTTATCGATAACGTGACATGTCACAGGAATATTTCCTAACTATACATGGGAAAGAATAAGATGCGATATGACGCCAATCAGAGAACATGGCAGGCTGCTACACCGACAGTAGTCGAAAATAGCTCTTAGTCGGCTGAACTCAACCTCACATGACTTTTACATGGCGCCTGCAGCAAATCCGCTTATCAACTGCTTGTCATCAAGATGTCATTAGATGAACAGCATGGCATTGTGGAACGTGCCAAACACATCCTTGCTAGTCGCTACATGTGCGTACATGTGCGTACATGTCCGTACTGTATAGGCGATGTACTAGAGCCCGAATGAGCCAGACAGGCCCAGACTTAGCCCAGTGAAGTCAAGTCTTACCATTGCGCTCAGATACCTGCAGGGTCGTGTTGAATGTATAGAGAGAGGGAGAGAGGCATATGAGGCCCTAGCCTACATCAAACCGGTGCATTGCCTTCGCACAACATAGTTTGGGACATAGCTTGTGCACATGTTCGCTTAGTCCTACGTCTCCTCTTCGTTCTGACTACTATCTAGAACCTTCACTACATAATTGGGGAACACCATTTCGTTAAAAGAATTCGGGTGGACACACCCATTCCCATAGCGCTGCACATCACATCCGAACCTGAAGCCACACAAGAGCAGTATATACGCAGAGTGTGCGCCAAAAAAGATGCGAATTATGTCACTTAGTATGCAAAAGATGGGGACGGAGAGAGAGAAGAGGCGCAACTAGCACATCACGGAGGAGAAAAAGTGCATTCTCTGCAGTTGAAGTAATAGGAAGAGAGCCTGATCGAGCCCGTCGCAAACTGCGCGAGGCGATTGAGATTCGTGATTCCAAGCCCCATGTGAACATAAGCACCGGATGGGATTTGTTGTGAATTTTTCTCAGCTTCCCCTGCTGCTACTTCAATATCAATGAATAATTATAACATGAGGCGGGTCACTCAGATCCATTCTGTTCCTGATGCCTCGTCGCGTCCCTGGTGGTAACAGTTTGGCATGGAAGTTTAACCTCATAGTGCATTGACACATGGGGCTCCGTGCTCCCCTCCTGTGCTAGAATTAATACCATAATTATTTGGCATGTACCCTCACTTCGTAGAGCACAACGGCGCGCTCTTCTTCTCCGTGATGTGCACAGTTGCACCTTCTCTCCCCCCTCTGTATAGAGGTGACATAACTCCCATCATTTTATTTTTTGGCGCTACACTCTGCGTAACGCCATTCACAGAGCACAATGCGCGCTACCTTCTGCTGCTTCTCCTCCGTGATGTGCTAGTTGCGCCTTTTCTCTCTCTCTGTCCCCCCCCCCCTTCTGCATACTAGGTGACATAATTCGCATCTTTTTTGGCGCTACGCTCTGCGTATATACTGCTCTTGTGTGGCTTCCACGGTATTCATTGTTCTTACCTGACGATGGCGTTGTAAAAATAACGGAACTGGTTCGGATGTGATGTTCAGCGCTATGGGAATGGGTGTGTCCACCCGAATTCTTTTCACAGATGAAGCTGCAGGAAGCCTCAGCCCTTCTTCAAAACATTTCGTTGTTATCATTATTCCACGATCGAGGCATGCTGCCGGTATGGAATTTCAGAAGGTAATATTGGTACATCAAGAGATGCGTTAGACCATCACACCATCCCCGATCAATGCGCTGGCGATGCTCAATGAGCAAAACTGGTTTCACTTGTGTGCAGTGTTTGTAAGTTTGTGATCTGCAAAGTGCAAGTACAACTGCAGGGCAGGTACATGTACATGTAGGTATTGAGGGCGTGGGCGGAGGGGGGGGGGTGGAGGGGGGGGAGGGGGGAGGAGGGTGAAGGGCCGGAACAGAGGAGCATCTATAATACACTTTGCCATGACCTTAGTGGATATAGTATCTCTGGTTGGTCACAAAAGTTCCTGACCTGGCTGGAACAGTCGATTTCTCTATAGATTTTTCGATTCAATGTGCGACTTGACATTCAGCTAACCGTCTGGCAAGCTTCATACGCAACCACATCCATCTGGTGAGACTTGACGCCAAGACCTGCAGTTCGTCTGACCCTCACGTGTCCAACTCCCTATGTCTGCTCACATGTCCCAGCCACTCTATATGCTGGATATGTACATGGACTCTTATACTTAGCTTCTCATTGTCCATCATGAAAAAATGTTCTTTTGAAAACCTCACGCAATCCCCCTAGCCTGGGTGGTGCATAACACCGAAGACAGGTAGACGCTGGGTGGGTGTGGGGGGGGGGCATCCTTTCGGGGTCCAGGCAGCGCACGCCTATAACAACATGCCCCTTGACATGTTTTCCAACTTTACATGGGTGAATGGCCACCATACCAATCTGAACCACCAGAAGTCTGCGTCAAAGGAGGCGAGTTTTGGCTTTTGTAGCGCATGCCACTTGTACATTGCACAACACAGCCTGTCACAATTCGTCAGCAACATGCCTTCGGACAACCTACACCCTACATGCCATGGTTAAACTAGCAGAGCAACTACATGTACAAGTGCTTGTGAGCCCGAACATGGGCACACAGGCAATGTGCAGGTGAGTAAATCATAGAGGCCGTCAAGTACAGACTGGTGCATCACTTATACAAATGGATCAGACTAAAGGGAACTATTTACTGTAGTACTTGAACTGCGACTGATCCAAGTGCATATTGGACATTGGCTGACGGAAGTCATACGTTTCGAGTGTAGATATGGTAAATAGCATTACTGGGAAACAAACACTGTTGCAACATTGAGTTTGGTGAACAACGGACAAAGCAATTCACCAAAGGCTAAGCCACATCTGTTGTTTATAATAATTTTGTTTTATTCCCCTTCACAATATCGTGTTTCACTGTGTCCAAAAAAGACACCAATAAATACCAAACACATGCACAGTACAATGTGACGTTCAAGTACGATGTAAGTTTTCTGAAGTCCAAATGTAGGAGGTTTGGTGATAGGTGTTAAGTGATGAATTCTTGGACAGCATGTATTTAACCGTGATCCGACGATACAACTCTGTATATGTGGTTCCTACATTGCAGGCTGGCTAGTAGACATCATAAAGAGTGTGTGGTGAGTGGGTTTCGTCTTCATCTGTACATGTACATGTACGCGTGCTTGTTCTACTGCGACTACGCCATAATTACTCACATAAGACTACTGTACTCAGGTGTAAAAAATGCAAGTGCGGCAATGGATCATGTGTGAAAAGAAGACGGACGTGTATTATACATGAGGAATGTCTCACAGGTGGTCGGCAAGAGACCTGCTATAGAAAGGTTTGACAGCACATTAGTTATCGAAAATGTCATGCGGTCATCATATCGATCTCTAACCAGATTGCAAGACACAATATACCTGTCGTGTTCATGTCGTGTTCATGCAACACGCAGCACGCCGCTGATACTAATACTCGAACAGTGCTCCAAGTGCTGTTCTCAAGGCCCACCTACAATTGTTAAGGGTAGAGTCAGCTGATATTCTAAGTTTCGTCAATGACTGCATACGTCTTAGTGCTCTGCTGCGTATCTTCATGTACTGGAGGAGAGCCAAGAGAGTTCATGTCACTTGTCATCAACATGCCTTCGTACAACTGGCATGCCATCATGAAACGTGCAGAGCAACTACACTTGACATCCCTCACACGGCCTACCAAAGATGTGCTATTGACCAAATCGCAGATGCTGTCAAGTACAGACTAATGCATCACGGGTCCAAATGAACCAGAATAAAGCATTTTATACTGAAGTAGTTGAACTACGACTGATCCAAGGCCAGGATGACACCCAAATGCTTGCATGTCCTCCCTCTGAATATTGTACAAGGGCATACATTTATAATTAGTGTTGAAACGAGCGTATCTATAACAAACGAGCGATCGGTTCCACTAACGAGCAAGCTATCGAGCGAGCTAACGAATTTCATTGATGTGGCAAATATGTTTTTTTGAATTTTTTTTTCTAAGTTAGATTTTTTCAGCTGGTACAAATCATCACCGCCGGCATTTGGGATTGTTGCTGCTTCACTTCGGACTGCTGTTTGGTGTCGAGATGTCTTTTCAGCGCCGTCGTTGAGTAGCCTTTGTAAGAATAGACCGTTTTGCAAAGATTGCAAGTAGCCCTGGTCTTCGCTGCATCGCGGGAGAAAACTTCCAAACGACTGAGCGTAACTTTCACTCGAATGGAGAGGTGACCGAAGCATATCCTGCGACAGGTCAGCAGATGCGGAACAAGACATCAGTAGAGTCCACGAAAGCTGCAACGACAACTGAAACAACTCAAATGTCGTGCAGGCATACAGTCACCGTAACTGCGAGTGATTTTCACTTTGCGCGGGACTGGACTCTCGATCGACACAGGGAGTATTTTACGACTCCCATGGCCCCAGTCGACATGTACTGCCATGTGTACGGAGTACGGTGTACGGTGTTCGTTAGTGCAAACGAGCTGGCCGCACAAACGAGCAGAGTTTCTGGCAAGCGAGCTAACGAGTATCCGGTGAGATCGTTTCAACACTATTTATAATGCATGCCAGGTACATGACGCTACGGGCAACCAAAGACTGCTGCAGCTCTGTGTGTGATGAACAGGGAACACTCATGAATCTACACAACCCACACAGCCATACTTGCGCTTCGATTCAACAACTTGCCTTTCTTGTCGGCTCGGAACATAATAATTATAGAAGAATGTCTTCATGCATGAGAAGTCACCTAGTGGAACAAACATCGAAAAAATGCCCATGAGTCGGACGTGTTTCACC